GTTACATTAGCATGGACTCACCTCTCTGTGGAGCTGTGATGGTCTGTGGGCTGATGGGATATGGTGTTCATTAGAAACTGATAGAAACAGAGGAATAAGAAAACATCAACATTGGAATATTGTTTTAACAAGTACTGACATGACGGAGCGCTGAGAGCCGCTCGGGTCTTGGCTCAGTGTAGGACCTGTGGGATTTTCAGTGTTTTTCTGGAGGTTCTGGTTTCACTGGGGCTCTGTAAGAAGACCTGGTTCAAATACGGCTTTAGATATAAGAGAAATGTTAGTGAATATGGACACAAGTTTAACAGGAACCTGCTTTACTTCAGCTTTGCTATTAAAAATGTGGTTTGTATGCAGACATCAACATACACACACACACACTTCACTGACAGAAAACTCAAAAATATGGAAGTACTACTCAGATCTTTTACTTCAGAAAACGTAAAAATACCACAGTCCTGCATTCAACATGTTACGTCAGTAAAAGTATTCAGGGGTTTTCTGACTTCTTGGGTTTTATCCTGCCAAAGTTTGATAAACTTTCGATACTTGGTGATTTTAACATCCACATCTGCTGTCCTGAGGACCTATTGGCCAAAGACCTTTTAAATATTATGGACTCTTTTAACCTCACTCAGTCGGTGCATGGCCCTACATATATGAGCAGCCTGTTTCCATTACTAAAATTTGTGACTCAGTTTTCGGATCACTTGCCTGTTTTATTCAATTTTGCTGCTCTGTCACTGGTAGACAAACCTTTTATTACTGCTGCTTTTAGACGTACTGTCACTTCTTCTACAGCAGGAGAGTTTTCTATTCATTTTTAAAACTCTGGTCTGTATTTGATGAATGATGTCTCCTCCTTTATGAATCCTGAGGAATTCTTAAACCCTAACTACCACTTGCCAGGATATATTGGATTCTGCTGCCCTTGACACAGACCAGCCAAGATGCAAGCAGTGCCCTGGCTAAACGACTCTACTCGAGCACTTAGACAAAGATGTGGGCAAGCTGAGCGGAAATGGAAGAAGGATAAACTTCATGTGTCTCTCCACCATTTCTGGTATTGTCTCTCTGACCCTCAGAAGACTGTAAAATCTGCCAAATCGAGCTACCTTTTGTCATGAAAGTTCTTGAAAATCACCTTAACACTTTCCAACATGGTCATCAGTAATTGTCATAAACCTCAGGTCTTGTTCAGTACAATTAATTCTGTTATCAACCCGTGTAACCTTGCTTCTCATCCCGGGGCATCAGTAGCAGTATGTGAGGGTTTTCTTCAATATTTTACTGATAAAATCACTAGCATTAGGCAGTCCTCCTGTTCTACTAATCCTGCCCCTGCTGATATTCCATTCTGCTGTCTCTGATCAGTTTGAACCTGTATCCTTACCTGTGCTATCTGAACTGGTTCACCACAGGAAAGCATCTCACTGTTCTTTGGATTGTTTAAGGATGTTTTTGACTCTGTTGGGCCTAGCTTTATGGCTCTAATTAATTTATGTTGAAGGACAGGCTCAGTTCCAGATGCTTTTAAAAAACAATTGTCCAGCCTCTTGTCAAAAAGCCAAATCTTGACCCTTTAGTGTTCTTTAATTTTAGACCAGTGTCTTTTATGTCTAAAGTTCTGGAGAAGATTGTTTTCATCCAACTCCATACCAGACTAGCATTAGGCAGTCCTCCTGTTCTACTAATCCTGCCCCTGCTGATATTCCATTCTGCTGTCTCTGATCAGTTTGAACCTGTATCCTTACCTGTGCTATCTGAACTGGTTCACCACAGGAAAGCATCTCACTGTTCTTTGGATTGTTTAAGGATGTTTTTGACTCTGTTGGGCCTAGCTTTATGGCTCTAATTAATTTATGTTGAAGGACAGGCTCAGTTCCAGATGCTTTTAAAAAACAATTGTCCAGCCTCTTGTCAAAAAGCCAAATCTTGACCCTTTAGTGTTCTTTAATTTTAGACCAGTGTCTTTTATGTCTAAAGTTCTGGAGAAGATTGTTTTCATCCAACTCCATACCAGTCCAGTCTTTTTTGACAGACAATGGCATTGAGGAGCAATTTCACTCTGGTTTTAAATCAAAACATAGTGCTGAGTCTGCATTATTAAAAATCAGTAATGACATCCTGTTGGCTAGGGACGCTGGGGATTCGGTTTTATTGGTGCTTTTAGATCTCACTGCTGCCTTCGATACCGTGGATCATGGAATCCTCCCATCTCGTTTGGAGCAGTGCGTAAGAATTCAAGGTACTGTTTTTGAATGTGTGTCATCTGTGTGACTGAGTTATTGTTTTAATTTTGCACTGAATCTATTTTATTTTAGTTATCGTGATTTTATTCTGTGTAAAGTACTTTGGGCAACTGGATGTTGTTTTTAAAGTGCTATAACAATAAATTTGATTTGATTTGAAAAGTACAAAGGTATTAGCATATACCAGCAGTACCAGTACTCGTCCTGCAGAACGGCCCGTGTCCCAGTAACGTCTCTGATACTGGATCATAGTGACTAATTACTGTGTCCATCACTTTAATGCTGCAGCTGGTAAAGGTGGAGCTGATGGTAACTACCTTATATACTTATACTGGGAAGTACTTTCCATCCTGCTGGGTAGCTGGTGGATTTCCTACTGGGATCAATAGAGTCTGATGGTTCTACTGGGTTTGGCTGACGGTGGAGTCAGTGTTACAGTCAGGATAAAGCAGGTCTTAGTCTGGGGTTCACAAACACAGCTGCAGGGCTCGTCAGTATGTGAAGGTGATGCCGGAGTCGAGCACATGGCTGCGGCTCAGGGATCAATAGGTGTGTGTGTGTGTGTGTGTGTGTGTGTTAAAGGCCACGCTCAAGGATTTCAGCATTTCCTGTGAGTAACTCTGCAGAGATTTATTCCCCTACTGGCTCTGAGCCAGAGTGTGTGTTTCAGTGTGTGTGTCCTTGCAGAGTCAGTCTGTCGTCCTCTCGCAGCCAAACTGCAGCTCAGATGGAAAAACTGGAAAAGGAAAAATCATCTGCTCCAGTCGGGCTCCTCAGGAAAACAGGGTGTGTCTTTTCTTCTTCTAATCTCAGCAGAAACATATGAATACTTGATTTCACCCAGAACAATGATCATGAACAACATGAATATGACAAATCTGAAGTGATTAACATGTTTTTACAAACAAAGAGGATGATAGCTCTGCACAGGAAGAGCCAACAGTCCACACATAAGTGGACTGAGAAGACAGTGCCATACACACCTCTGAAACACATACACACACGGTACCTGAACACAATGAATGTAGAAATAAAGCAACAGCTTAACGTCAAAGCTACACCCATCCTCCATTGCAGCATTAAAGGACCAGTCTGTGATTTTTCTGACCACATGCATCTTTATATTAGCTGCTCGCACATACCTGTTTAGCTCCACAGCAGCTTGCGTCATATACACTCAGTGTCCAGTTTATTAGGAACAACAAGTCTGTATCTGTGTGTGTGTAAAGACACTGATCCCAGAATGCTGCTTTATTTTGTCAGTGCACATTGAGCTACAGGTCAGTGCAGCAGCAGGTCTTACTGGTGTGTTGCAGAGCTTTGCTGGATGAGCCTGGAGTGAACTGCAGTAAGGACAGAGTCAGTGGCAGTTCATTTACCAGATTAAGCACGGTGGTAACGTGGACACAGCTGAGCTGAGCTGTCCTCTATGTGCGTCAGCTGCAATGGAAATGCATCCCAGGAGGGGCGGCCAACACACACAGCCAGCAGCTCCCTGCAGGCGAAACATAGATCACCTTGGTGTCAGGTCACCCACTTTATATTCATTATAAACATGCACAGAAATAACCTGAAGGCAAACACGCTGAGTGCAGAGATGGACAGGGGAGGCACACCAAGCCAATTCTCTTTGTAGCATCCTATTAAATGTTCTGCAGACCAGTAGTGGTACTGTATATATGTGTACTACTGTACTGTAGTACACATACTGTGCATACCTGCATGATTTACACATATATACCCAGTTTCTTTACTCTCATAATCTCTGTGAAACTAGATCTAAAAGAAATCAAAATGTGAGGAGGCAGTCCTGGCTGTGCAGATGGCGAGGGATGAGCTAGCTGGTTTACCTCAGAGGGTTGCACAAATGAGGACGTCTCAGATCAGACGACTCGCATCAGAGCGGCAGATTCTTCACTTTTCACTTAAAAACCATCAAGTCACCACAGATGAGCTGAACTCTCTCTGAACCGACTGAACAGCAACAGGATGATTTGTGGTTGTAATAATTACAACACACTGTCGTCTCCCTGAAAACAATGTGGGACAGAGACAGGAGGGCTGAAGTGAGACACAAGACAGTGTGATTTATCAAGACAGGATGAGACGAAACACCATTCAACAAGAAGGCAGAAGAGGTAACGAGTCCAAATGAGACACACTGGGAAGCAATAAAATGCAGTGAAACGCAACTACACATTTGGACAACAATGGGTCCATCTGCGACAAAATGGAATGAAATATCACAGATTATGAGACATTGTAAACTGTGAGACCGCGTGTCTCCACAGATGTTGGCCTAGAACAAGGTCAAGTGGTGGTCGAGGAGCAATCCGTTAAGGGAACTGGGACGCACCCAGTGACGTGTCTGGACCACAGCTCATAAAAACTGTTGAAGATGAAATACACTGTTCTTTACTGCTGCTAGAACTTTTATTTTCTTTGGACCATTTCCCTTCTCTGTGCCTCGTCAACAGGGGGCTATGCTGGATCACAGACAGACGTCACACTGTCGGTGTGGATATGTCCTGCACAGTGAGGTTAGACTTCACTGACAGAGCGCTGTGAGAAAAACACTCGGGTGTGTGTGGAGCAGCTTGACACACAGACACCTCTTGTGATGGGGCTGAGCAGCAGGGAGGCAGGTTATTACTGATGCCAACTGGGACAAAGCCCTCGCTGCTCCACGCTGTTGAGATTCAGGATTTGAGGTCAGAAGAAAGAGATGAACACAGAACAATGAAACGCTGATGTTACAGTCCACGTTTAATGAAGCATAAAAAGGTTAAGCACCAACCAGTACTGGCATACACAGGCATTATACACACAGAGAGGATCAGTAACAGTCACTTACAGTTGCATATATTATCATCTACAAGAGGCAAGTTGGTGTTGTAGGATCAGAGAGAAGAGCTTGGTGGTTAAACCTCAGGACGGGTCATGTTTGACTTTTGGTTTTTGGCCTTTAAACACTCACACTGGAGTTTTCAACAGAAAAGTCTCAGTCATCAGAAACTGTAAACAGCTCTCACCAGAAGGATGGGAACTGAAAAGAAGCTTTCTGTGGCTTCTTAAAGCTTCGTAGGAGCTATTTATATCTGGAACATGTAAACTCTGGACCACACCAGATGAATACAATGAAACTGAGGAGGTTCCAGCAAACCATTCCAAGGCAGCATAAAACTCCAACATCATCTTGGCATGAGGCTGCAAACAGAACAGTGTCAATGATAAACGCTGATCTTTAGTGAAATCCTCCTGTTGGCTGTCAACCTCAGAGCCCAACAGATGTGTCCAGTAGAGAGATTCTGTTGAGTAGCTACCATTTTCCCCGTTTTCAGTTCTCAGCTGAACCAGACAAAACAATCTATCCTACAGTTTCTCTCCATTGCTTTTGATTAAACTATCAGTTTTTCCTCATTTCCAGTTTTGTGTTGGGCAAAAACATCCCGGTAAAATGCCTGCTAACTAGAAACAGCTACCATAACATCTATTATGCTAGCTGTTAGCATATAGCATCAGTTACCTATGATGTCATAGCTTTTAACAGCTTACGAAACACTTAAGGCACATTAGGTGAATCCCAATTCCTCTAATCACATCCACATTTCCCTCACGTCCGGCTTTTCCTCATCCTCATCCAGGAACGAGGAAACCCGTTTAAACTGACACAAGACCTCCTCTCCTCTGATCCTTCACATGAAGCATTCAATCACCAGCCAATTTCCAAAAAAGGGATGTGTGAACCCCTAACAGATTTCTACAAAGGATGGCGTATCAGTTACAGCTCCTCCAGGCAGCCCCGGCTCATACGGAGCAGTAATACGAGCTCTGCAGTGTCCTTTATCATGGTGGACTGGAAAGACTTCCGACCCAAGTGACTGTTGAGGACCAAGGAATGATAAAATAAGGGATATGGGACTCACCATGGGATTGTGCTATATGCTGTAGATAGCAGTTTCCACCCGCTCTCTTTATGCTACGCTAGGCTAAACATCCTGCGGCCTACAGTACCTCTGTACTGAATGCACAGAGATTAAGCTAATGTCCCTCTGAAACAGCAAAGTTTCATTTGAAAGTACAGAGAAAAGAGGATTTTTTTGCCTTAACTGACTGAATAAAGTGACAGCTGACTTCCTCCTGGTTTACAGAAAGCTGAAAAGCTCTGGTGAGTTGTAGGTAACGAGTAGGTGTCAAACCAGGCCAAGTTTAGTTCATGCTTTTATACATCCAGTTCACATTTAATAAAAGGTTTCAGCAGTATTTCATAAACCTTATTTCAGCTTGAAGCAAGTTTCATAAAGCACCAGCAACATGTTGCAATACTAACACAAAACAGATTGAAAAACAAAAACAGAAAAATTATTTAGTTTGAAAGTGAGAAAACCTACTGGACTTATACTGTTATCCAAAATGGTCGTAGAAAAACGGGTCATGTGAAGGCAGGAGAAATACTAAAGCACGGCTTTGGCCCTGCACTGACAATAGTCTTGTTCTCACCTCTGGATGCTGTATGAACAGGTTATGACAAGCACTACCAACCACAGAACATCAGAAGTCATGTAGAAATGTTGTAAAAACTGCAGCTCAGGACCGGTCAACTTCACCCAGCTGTCAGTCACTTAGTACCAAGTGTGGCATCCAATATGTACCAAGAAAATATATTAGGTTTTAAATAGTTTCCATCAAAAACATAACAACTTAGATCAGTCAAATAAAAAGAACTTACTAATAAAAAGCATTTACTGAGGTTTGGCGTGCCGTGTCGAGGCGCTACAGCCAAGGGCAAAGTTCACGGGATAATAAATACAAAACAAGGCTACATACAAACAACAGATTAGCAGAGTCTCACTGTCTGTCCTGTCACTGACAGTTTGTCTCCAAGTCTCAAAGTGCAGGAAATTAAGAGATTACTGCGAGATCCAACCAAAACCCTCATCGACTGTCTCTCAATTCAGGGACTGCGTCCTTTATGAAGTCGTGGCCGTCATAGCTGTCGTAGGACAAAAACCAAACTGAAATGAGATGGTTTGGTCTATGGAGGATTTCCTATTTATCTTACCTACTGTTTCTGCCCTTATCACTGTGTAACACAGCACCGTTCCTGTCGCCTAGAGACCTCGACAGCTGCTCGGCTCTCTGCCGACACACAAAGGATCCTGGGATAGGGTGGGCTGCGAACAATCCGCCAGCTGGAGCCTTCGTTTCCCGGCAAAAGGGCACATTTCTCAGCTGCATTTGAAGTTCCCTTGTAATGACACTGTGACACAATCAGTCTTCAAATACAGCCTTTGAAGGATGTGGCCCCTGAACTGGGACATCGCTATTGAAGAACCTTCTGTTCAACCTTCCAAAGACCCATGTGGAGACATTAAGAAATGTCTTAAGAAACATTTGAGGAACCCTCTAAAGAACCTTCTGATGCACTGTCTGAAAACGTAACTAAAACCCCACTTCTACCAAAGAACAGCAGACAACAGAAACACTCAAGGCCTCAGTGTGCTTCAACCCCATATTCGATCACCTATCAGTGTCTGACACCCGCTTTCTGATGGAGAATTCCTGAAAGCTATGTGAAGAGAGACATCGGAAAGGCACAGAGGCTATGCCAACAGGCCTTTCACCCAGCCTTCAGTGTAGAAACGCCGCCGGGTCAGACAACACGTTTGTCTGAAGTACGGTGAGGCCTCGATCCCTGCTCTCAGCTCTGACTAACAGCCAGGTCTATGTCAGCCGAGGCACTTGTTTGGCCACAAAAGGCAAAGAGGCCAGTGTTACCGTCTAAATCTGAACTTCATTTTGTTACCAACAGTAGTAACTTAGACTGCACTTGTTATAAATACATGGAGCTGGAAGTGAGAAGCCAGAAACTACCGCAGAGATCCTTGAAGACATAACCACAAACTTGGAACTACAGTATCACATTCCGGAAATCTTAAGTGTGTTTAACAGTGTGTAAATGTCTTTAAGTGATGATGGTTTACTGTTTGGGCAGCGATACTGATTTGTTTTGATATCATGGAGTGGGTGTGACGATGCCTCCAAATGTAAATCCAAGATGGTGACTGGTTTGGTTTGTAGCTCAGGCTAAAGAGGCTTGTGGTTAGTTAAAATGTCAGTGTAGAAGTGTCGTGTCCGCTACATGCGTGAACCAGGCAGCACCTGTCCTCACACAGTGCTGTCAGTTCTTCCATTAGGTTTGGTTCAGGCACACTAGAAGTCCATGGGTAAGGCACCCCAACAGATAGGACACTGGTCCTGGTTGACAGCATGCCACTGGCAGACTCACACTGTGGTCATGAGTCTGAGCGAACCCGACCTGAACCTCAGGATTTTCTTCTTCAGGTTGTGAGAGGCCTTAATTTTGACAAAGGCCTTTGACTGAGCAGTAGTCATTTCCTGCCCCACCGCCCTGGCCCGGGGTGCCCCCAACTGGCTCCTCCCCCTGCACATCACACCTGCTCCACCTCCCCCGCTCTCTTCAGTGTCACTCGTGGTGGCGCTGTCCTCCACGTACTCCTCCTCACTGGATTCACCATCTCCAAAGCAGTTGGTGGTGTAGTTGGATCTCTCGTCCTCACTGGTGTCCACAATGGTGGAGTGAAAGAGCGACGCGCACTCGGCTGAATACTCCGAATCACTTCCAGCAGTGTGGGAGTACGGGCTGCTCAACTGCCCACCTGAGGGGAGGTACCTGTTGGCTGCAGAATGGCTCAACAGCTCTCTTCTCTGTCGCCGCTGAGCTCGCCTGAACGCCTCATCACACGGGCCCTCCATAAGCGCACGTAACCGCTGGTAATCATTTCGTTTGTGCTTCGGTTTGGCAATGACCACCACCTGGTCACGCCCATGGTGGTGGTTTCCATGGTGATTCCTGGATGAACCTGACCTCACGTTGTTTAGTGTTGCTGTGGTGTGTTTGTCTAAGATTCGGTCTTCTGGGATGGACACAGGGAGGCGTTTGATTCTAGAGGACACTCCAGGTGCACCACCAGCCGTTCTCCTTGAGGCTCTATAGTGGGCGGAGCCTCCCTCTTCCAGTGGCCAGGACTTTTTAGAAGTGGACCTGTAGTGGGATTTATCCCCTCTCCTGTCTGACATATGCTCACGGTGACCAGAGGTCAGACTTGTCTTCACCTTGACCGTCTTCTTGCTGCCACCCTTGCGGAGATTGATGTTCTGCTGTTGGGTGGGGATGTACTTGGCATTAACCATGTGACTTCCTCTTCCTTCTCCTTCATCCTGACTCTGGGATGAAGACCCTAAACTGGTGAGCTCCAGCATTGATCTGTCACCTTTATCTGTCTGGCCGGGTTGGAGAGGCTTGGGGCTGTTGTTGGGAGTCGCTGACTGTGTTTTGACAGTTGGAGGTGATTTGACGAGCAGTTTCTGTTCGGGGGAGTAGCACGGCTGCTTGGTCTCTTTGGGGGTGGAGTTAGCTTTGGGACTGCCCAGCTCTCTAAAGCCTTTAGGCACTGGCACTGTGTTCACTGCAGAGGGAGGAAGAAACCTTTTGCTGTTCTTTTTCAGCAGGCTGTCAGTGCCTGTATGAATGTCCTTGTTGGTGACAGAGCAGCCATTTTGGATGCCGTTACAAAGGGGAGAGCTGTTCTGGTTTTCTGCCAAGTCACTGTTGGTAATCTTGAAACCAGTCTGCATGGTGTCAGCACAGCCACCGGTAAAGAGATTCTGGGTCTCCGGCTCATCACTTTTACTTTCCATGGACCACTGCCTCTGAGGAGACGAGGTGGCGGCACCTTCTGCTGATCCTCCAACTGTCCAAGATGGTTTGAGCTCTAACCCCCTCAGAATCCCTAAACCGGGCCCAGAGCTGGGACCAGTCACCTGCTTCACACTGAGACTAGCCTGCCTCAGAATGCCTTTTGATGGATCTGTGCTGATGCTGGTCCTGGGTCTGCTGGTTCTGATGGGAAGGGCTCTCCGCTGCAACAAACTGTAGATGTAGCTGTCCAGGTGCTTATGGGAGGGAGTCTGGGATGAGGAGGAGGAAGAGGAGGAGGAAGGGGCCGGCCAGGAGGAGCTTTGCGGTACGAGAGGAGCTGAAACAGAAGCAGGAAGAGGGGCCGTTTCTGGTTTGAGACCTTCCTCACCAGCATCAACACTTTTTAGAAGCCCTTCATCTCTGCCATGACCTCCGTGACCCAACACTTGCAGCAAGATGGGGCTCTGGAGGACCACGGCGTGCAGCGGGCTTGGGTACCGGTACACATCGTTGCCATTTCTGGCCACCAGGTCGCAGTGGTATTTTGACTGGGAGTCACAAGAGGCCACTGAGGAGATGGGGTCCAGGGTGGTTGGATGAGGAGCTGATAGCGAGCGACGGACTGTTCTAGATGAAGATGAGTCATCACAAAGTCCTCCAAACAAACCGTCACACTCCAAACAGCTGGCCGGCTCATCTGAAGGGAGAAAGAGAGAGTTTGACGTTAGTGAGCAGAGCCAGACACAGCTGCAGATTTAGGATCCTCACAGTTATTTGAATTCTTTAAGAGATTTCTGCTGTGCCAAACATAAGCAGCCTAAAAGGCTCAAAGTTGTCTTCAGTGTTGTCTAATGTGAGGAGCCAACAGGAAGCTGACTTGGAGAGAGCCATTTCCAAGCACTGCACTTCTGCTGAAGTGCTCTGCTGAATGTGGTAATGACCCTGCTGCGTTCGGCTGTGGATGGAAAGTACAGGCATTAGTAAGTGGAAAATTCTTTCCTGTGGAGACAGTGTGCTGCGAAATGTTAACCCTGCATAACCACTGCTCCTTGGATGTGGAAGCATTATGCTCAGAGGAACTCTACTGCCAGCTTATCCATGTACAATGATACAGTGAGGCTGGAATTTGGTTTCCTGGGGCTATTTGTGCTGCAGCGAACATTTAAACAGTGCAGGACAAAGTAGGCAACATAAGATGCCAAGACAGAACAAAACAAATGCAAAACAAAGTAAAACACAGACAAAGAGAGTCAAGAGGCGGTGAGGATGTACACGTTTGACTGCCAAATTTATTCCCGGTTTAATAAGCTAAGAGTGGCCCAACACAACACAGCACAAGCACATCTGACTTTGTGCAGCAGCTTTCCAACAGCTAGGTCCATCGATCAGCTGTCAGATTTAACAGGGAGTAAAGCTGCCCTACAGGTTTAAGGCGATGACTGTGAACTACATGGTCTGAGTCTGGAAGGAGTCAAGGAACAGGAGTTTACACTCTAATGTCCAAGACAAACTGGCACACACAGCACTGGATCTGTGATTACTTTGTGAGCACAGAAAAACACTACAGCTCCCATGAAAGTTTACCAGCATGGCTGAAAATGTCCACACTCTGTGCCAAACTTATTTTCCTTCCTAGCTGTGGCCTGTGCTGCAGCGTTTCCCTACTCTGACATGTCCAAACATCCAAAGGTCAGCAGTGAGCAGGTGCCACTCTGCTGTTTCTGCCTGGTCCAGCAGGCAAAACAGGTCATTGTACACTGAGAAAGAGACACACAGAGTGTGTTATTATGTTGACACAAGGTGAATCTACTGTTGAATGTAATCTCTGGCTGGGCTGTGCTCTGAATAGACACGATAAAGCAGTAGCCACATCTCAGAGGGTGACACCGCCCGACTCTGCTCTGTGTCTGAACTGAAACATTTTCAGAAAAAGACTGAACATGTTGTATGTCAAGGCACCGCAGACTCCTGTGCTTCTCTGTTGCATGTTTTAAACAACACCTGGCCATGGGAGACATTTACTAAGGGTTTACGGCTCATGCTCTGGTGCTAAATGGTGAAATTGTGTGTTCATAGTTGCTAAGGAGTCACAGTGGGATTTGTGCATTTAGTGTCAATATGTATTACTGGCTCCAGCCCCCACGACCCTCTCAGAATAAGCAGTATAATGGATGGAGGGACAACACGTATTTTCTCAACATAGTTGAATGTCTTATTTTTGTGTTCCCTTTATTTTTTTTGAGCAGTGTATTTTCTGGGTTCTCATTCAGGGACACAAAAATCAGGGAGGAGAGAGTGGAAATTTATGCAGATACCCTCAGCACCCGATTTACCACGGCTACGACAGAGGGAACTGCGGCTGAAATGTAAGGTCAGGAGAAAGCGGGGGTAAAATGTGCGGCCCTGCTGTCCGGCAGATCGTGGAGCTGAGATGAGGGACAGGGTGTTTGTAAATGGCATCACTCGCCAGAGGAGAATGTGAGGGACTTTTACAGGCTTTCAGGTCAAACCATGCTTCACTTATTGAACGAAATGAAAGATGACTTGACCAGCAGGAGGCAACGTGACTGCACCTGCAGAATGCGTTTGTTGATTTCTTCAACCATATTAAATTTCAGTTGTAGTAAACACACTTTTTTCTACTGTCCTGCTCAGTCCACATGTGCACAGTACAGCTGCCGCTGTGCTCAGTTACATCATCAGCGTTGGTAAGTAGGCGCAGCATTTAAATATAGCGGTGCTGCCTGACGGCGATTGGCGACAGGTTTAGTAAATACCCCCTCGTGCAGATTAAGATGTCCTGCACCGTGTTTCTCACCAACAATAATATTCTTTTCTCTTTTATTAATACCCTGAATGCATCATTTAATCTTACACTAGTGACTTTGTGGCATCAGTGCAGACGAACCCCAGCCTCTGGGCCGACCATCACCGTGCACTGCTAGTGTTTAAACAGGTTCATAAGGCTGTGGTCAGAACAGCTCGGACTCTGGTGGAAAACAAACACACTGTGTGAACATTCAGTATCAACATGTTTGTGACTGGCCAGATGTGTTAACCAACATCATTTCCTGCTTGTGTCGAGAGGAGGCTGCATTTGACACATTTCATAGAAGGCAGAGCTGCTGTGGAGCGATGCCGATAGATGATCACATCAGGCTCATGTGGTTTGGGCGTGTTCACACTTCTAATCAGATAATACATGACAGACCTCTCAGTGCCAAGTGTAGTTACAGCCTCACTGCTGCAGCTGCAGCCAGAAACCATGCAGCAGCTTGTGGCCTCCTCAAACGTGCCGCAGCTTCAAGAGAGAGGGGCAAAGCCGAGCGTCTCCTGCTGGAGCAGGTTAAAGGTCACGGTGTTTCCACGGTCCTCCTCTGTCTGTCCACACTGCAGCTCACAGCCTGCAGATCTGACGGAGCACACTGATGTCCTCTCACAGCTGGGTGTGAGAGGTGTGTCAGTTTGGGTGTTCAGTAGGAAAACGCTTTCCTCATGTCCACATAAACTACAGCAACTCAAACCAAACAAACCTGATTCCAGCAGCACAGTGAATAAACATCTAGCATTGGCCGATGATGAAACAAGGTCATGAAACAAGACTGAGCTCCTGCTTTAATGTTAAACAGTAAACACCGTATTAAATGTGACTTAGAAATGTGTTATTTTGCCTGCTGACTTTTATTCTGAAGGCCAAAGTCAAGCCTCAGAGTGCGTGGTTCAGTGGGTGTTAATGTCGCGTTACTGTGCGTGTGTTTACACAGCAGCGACCAAAAGGAGCTGAGCGGCAACATGTGGCATCAAAGACCGAGGTGAGGACGGAGGGAGGAGGAAATTCGGAGTCTCAGCTCCACTTGGATGTGTGTGGCAGTCGAAATCCAGTCTGCTGCATCTGGAGCTTTAAAGAATAAAGCTGTTCCCCACAAACCCTGTCCAGAGACCAATGAACATGATGTTCTCACTGTAATGTGTGAGTCCAGACCCTGGTCCAGCTCATTGCTCTGTGTCGTAGACCTCCAGTGTTGTCCACCAGCTGTGAACCCCCCCCAGTGAGCCACACCACTGCACTGGGGGGGCAGGTTTCTTCAATAAACAAACAGCACTGGCGAAGGAAGGAGGAGTCACTGACCTCTGCTCTGGTTACACTGCTCCACAAAGTTTAATGTAAAGGTAAACAGATGACTAATATGATCAACTCGTCCTCAGCGGCTCTACCTCTATTAAATCAACACAAGCCTCTTTTACATAATAAGGGACTCTTCTGTTTATTGTGTCATTTCCAGCAGATGATGAAGTGCAAACAGACTGAGAAGTGCTGCGGGATTTCCGTACAAAGCAGGTTCCTGTCAGAGTAAAACCTCTGCTGAAGCCCCGGTGCAGACAGTAACACCCCTCTATAAAATCAGCTTCCTTCTCGCCTGCTTGTCGTCTCATCAGTGAAAGGAGTGACAGTTCTGTACCTGTAGACTGGAGTCGTCCATCAGCGTCCGCCGTCGAGCACAAACACTCACTGAAGACCGAATTGGATGAGTTGGAAAGTGAGCCGGACGCCCCGTCACTCAGCTCGTAGAAACCTGCGAGAGACAAGGTCGACACGGGGTCATCAGCAACGTCTGTTCGAAACATCGTCATGGATATCAGTCGAGGAACAGTTCAGTGAAATCATCTGTCGCAGTGTGATGTTCAGGTTGACGCCACGCTCTCTGGGTGCACTAAAGGCCGGTTAGCTTAGCACAGCACAACGACTGGAAACGAGGGGAAACAGCTAGCCTAGCTCTGTCTGATGCTCACATGTTAGATCTGCTTTGTTTGACATATACCAGAAGCAGCAAAGAGGCAGGACAGGGTGTTGACTGGAGACCATGTGGCATGCAGCCAACACACTCGCACTGCAGGAGCTGCGTTCAGCTGCACAGCTGTGCTCAGCAGCTGCAGAGCAGCACAAAGCCGGATTTTATTTCATTTATCTGTACTAATGTAGAATTACTGCAGATCTGAGTGCTCCTGTCTTTGGACATGCTGATGAGGTAACAATGACAAAATGTTAATGAGTTAATATTCATGTTATTGGTACTACAGTTGCCACACTCTGGTTTTGGGGTGTGTAAACAGGAAGTGTGATGCTGCCATGGATTCAGTGAAGCAGCTGTGAGCTGCAGCTGGAGCCCTGTATTTTAGCCTGAAGGGAACCAAGAAACAGGAGGATTCTGGGGCAGCCTCTGCTCCTCTGGTTGCTCAGTGGATTTATGGAGGTTTGTTCTGGAGGGACACAGAGATGCTGATATCCCCATGAAGTGGACATCACACTGAATCTGATCAGCACATCTTTCGTGTCGCCCACCTCTAAGTTTAACACCCTCTGCTGTACCGACATGAGTTCTGTCAGTCTGAGCAAACATTTCCTAAAATGACCAACCACCCCTTTATCCAGGATAAACAAGGTTTTCTTGTTACCTGAGCTGGGTCGGCTGTCGGTCTCCAGCTGGTCATGTGACGCCTCAGTGTCCAGGTGCAGGTTGCAGATCTGTCGGTCCAGCTCCTGTAACTGGCTGATGAGGCCAGCATCCCTCCTCCTCAGACAGTTCTGATAAACACAGAGAAAACACAGTCTGTTTCCTGTATCTGTTTGTGTCTGATGAAACACACAGAAGAGAAGTCTGGCGCAGTCCTGATTCCTGAGGGGACCAGGGGAAAGTTTCCTGAACGGCGAAGGAAAACCAAAGCACAGCCCAGCTCAAAGAGAAATGACTTGAAAGTAATTAAAATGACATGAAGTCAGATTTTAAAACTCGAAGCTATGAAGACAAAAAGGTTCCAAGCTTTAAAGCTGCAGAACAGACCTCAGATCTGCTGACAGACACAGAGCGTCAGAGCAGAAAACAAGAGCAGATGTGAAGAATGTGATCGTCTGCAGCGTTAGTCTCTTTGTGCTGGACACATGAGCTTGGACTGTGTGGACAGCAGAAGGTGCACGAAGAGCAGCAGGGTCGAGTCAGAGCGTAGCAGAAACACCCACAGATGTCTTCAGTGTCTCAGGGACAGACACTTCATTCAAATAACTTATTACATTACATGCTGTATTATTTGTATTTTGATTAGACTGTTATTCCAACTCACAGGCACAGACAAGAGGAGAGACCTGGTAAAAACAGCGGAACGCTCCTTTTAAAAACTTGAGCAATGAGAAGAAACTGAGTTGTGGACACACTGCTGCTCATTTCAGAACAACGCAGCTCAAACCAACTCACCCTGGGATGGAAAACATGCGAGTTATGCAGCAGTGCTCACAGGTCATGTGCTGCATTCCTGTGACTGAGCTGCAGCACAGAACAGAAACACATTGCTGCTCCACCGTCACCACAGAAGACCACTGATCTCTTGACGTATGTCCTCCTTTAAATTACACTACATCTACGCTCAGCGACTAGCGATGGGCCGTGGGTCTCCACCTGGACAATATCTCACCAAGACGCACCAAACATCCAAAAGTCAAGTCAACATTTATTTGTATAGCACTTTATAACAACCAACAGACTGAGAAAAGTGCTTCACGCGTCAAAAAGAAAACGACCACAAAGGTGTGAAACATCTGCTAAGAGCAGCACAATTAGAAGAAAGGAGGAGCACGGTTCCCGGTGTTGTTCTCGTCTGGAAAAGGCTGTTGACGTGTTGTCAGAGCTGCTGCTTTACCATTTAGTTTTCTTGTTCTGATGACAAATGTAAAACGTTCCATCACAGGTTCTGTTTTGTTTCTTTGTCTCGACTTTGTTGTGAAAAACAGGTCAACAAACACTTTCATTATAGTTTTTGTTGGTCCTGATTTGTCCCCCCAGTTTAAAATCCAGGTCCAGCTCATAATCACGTTAAATGAGGACACTGGTAACGTGGCGGGTGGCGCTGGTGAAGCTCATCTGACACGACTCATCTGCCTGCACCACAAGTGCTTCTGAAATAGAAACCCGCTGGTGTGGATCCACACCAGGATCCTGCTGCTACAGTCCCAGTACACAGAGAGGCCTGCACATGAGCGTGCTGGCTCAGAAGCTCCTCGGCCTCCTTTATTAACACAATGCAACGATGGATGAGCTCGGCAGCCGCTCTGCTACAAACTGCTGCTGCGTCTGCACAGCCCGGTCACCACTCGGGCCGCACAGGTCTGTCGCGTGTGTGACATCATGTCCTGCTGTAGTGTCGTGGGCGGGGCTTGACGCTGGCTGTCGGCTGGTTGACTGACAGGACCAACAGCTGGACGAGCATCGGTGTGTGTTTGAACATGCTGACCATACCAGAGAGCAGCTGCTGCTAACGCGCACACAGAGCTGACATTTACATTTAAATTCACAAGAACAGCCAGAAAGGCTCAGATGAAGATGTTTCCTGCTGCTGTTGCCTCGGGTTTTGCAGATGCAGCCACATTCGGCCAATTGAACTTGTAATCTCAGCCTTTCTCTTTCTGTCCCACAAAACTATGACACAGTATTTAACTTGTTTTTCACAAGAAAAATAAGACTAGAACTAAATAAAGAGTAACATTTGAAAAAGACAACTATGACTGAAACAGTTTGTTTCATCAGTGAATAAAAACAATGTGAAAGATGTCGAACGGACATGAGGTACTTCATCCTAAAGTCTTCCTCGGTGACCTGCAGCATGTGTGGACTCAGTGAAACCAAACCTGTCCTGTTCAGACGCTGATGTAGCTGCTTGACCTGCTGCACCAACGTCAACCACCTTACACCCAGTAACGTTCTGTCTCAGTCGGCGTCAGCTCTTCTCATAAGAAACGGGTTTATGAACTAAACTTGTCTACAACCCACTGAGAATCAGACAAGAAGACACAAACGTAGCTGAGATGCATGAGGAACATGCAGCAGCCGCCAGTTATGAACAGGTCAGATCACTGGACAGGAAGTGCCGTGGATGTGACGCTAACGTTATAGTCAGTTGTACATCTGTGTGTTGTTGTGTCAGCTGTAACCATGGTAACTGCAGCAACAAAGATGGAGGCAGCTAGAGGCTCGATGCTGAGATGTGGGCATTGGTTTCAGCGGGCATCGTGTACAGACGCACGGTGTGTGCATGACCCCTGTGCTTCAAGCTTTCCTGCCCATCTCTGCTGCGCTGTCAACTAAAAGCTAAAAAGTCCCCAAATATTTTGCAGATGTCAATTTTAAAATGCAGAACAAACATGAGACTAAAATATCACTGGTGAAAAATCGACAAACATCAAAAAACTCAAACTGGAACCAATCCAGGGTCTGAAACACAGTGCTAGCACTGAACTGGACCATGGTGCAGGCATGTGTTGACACAGTGACCCAGGAAGCGCTAATGTCTCAGCTGAGGCCACAACAACAAACCTCAGCTGTTCTGTACTCTCACAGATCAGAGCGAGACGTCACATCGGCCAATAGGAACACAGCTGCTGCACTGGGTTTGGACATGTACAAGTTATTGTTCTGCTGACACCGGCAGACTGTGGTGATCAACAGCTGCTTACTACCTGCATCAGAAACGTGACAGCAGGGGCTGTTCAGGGAAATTCAGCTGAACTGTATGTAGCTTAAAATAAATGTTCAGCATGTGATTTTCCTTGTGAAAGTCTCCCACGGCCACAGAATCGACAACAGACTCCACTGGTCTCAACTAAAACTACTCAACAGGAGCTACCGCTGAATGCAAATTCAACGAGTACACACAATCAAAAATGAGACTTAAAGTCATGGACGTTTTCTCCACAACAGCTTTGAATGGTTCAGCATGAAGCGTGGCACAAGGCAGGGCCAGGACCGGGGCCAGACCCAGTCCCCTGTGTTTCCTGTGCAGACGCTCTGAACACTTCAGCTGCTCCAACACGCAGCTGAAAGCTGATCTGCAGAGTTTCTAGCAGCTCACAGGAATCTCCATTTGTTGCTGATTACAAACGGGGGAGGGGGTGGTTCAGATTCAGGTTGGGAGCTGCAGTTGCAGGACGGACCAAGTCCAGAAACACACACTCTGTCCTACAAGCTGCAGAGTGAGAGCAGATCTGAGGTCAGGGCTCCTGCGGCTACAGCATGTCCTGTGAGGGAGGAAACGGACGCCTCACAGAGAGATCAACATTCACACACAGCTGCAGCTCATCTCACGTTTTCTCTTCCACAGTAACATAAAGACGCTTTAAACTGGACTTAAGGTTCAAAAGAGCAGATGTGGCTCTTCTGACACTCCTCAAGGCCTGGAAAGTCCAAACCTCGCCAGGACCCTCCAGGACTGAAGCTCCTCTCTGCTGTTTGCTCTCCCACTGACTCCACTTCAAAGCTCCCACATCGGATGTGTGAAAAGTTGCACAGCCCAGCTGACGGCCGGCTGACCTGCCAAGTGTCAGAAACTCTACAGGAGAGAAGAAGTCGGGACATATCTGCTCTGACCGCTGACACACTGGCCACACGGGCAAACGTCTGCGCCCACTGTACCACACCTGACATCTGGGAAAGGTGTTTCCAGTAGCCATGTCCGCTGGGCCTCTGCTGCAGAGACTGAGGCCCTGCACAACACCACTCGGAACTGGGCACAATTATCCAACACGTGGCGCTGCCCCTGCACCTCAGCTCACAGTCAGTCCAGGAATCCCTGGGTCAAAGTGCGTATTGCTGGTGGGACACACAAACTGCCGACCTCTCTGCTTCACAGCTGAAATGTCGAGACGTGTTGTTGTTATAGCGCAGGCACCACGCTGTCAGTGGGCACATGATTTTGCAGCTGTGGAGCAACTTCCTGTCGTCTTTCTGTCTCCGTCTTCCTCTGGATGTAACTCGTCGTCCATTTCCTGGGCGACCACCTTGTCCTGAGAATACGAGGTTAAGCAGGAGCTTGTCGACTTTCCTCAGAAGACGTTCTGGACCCAAACCAGCTGCAGGAGATCATCTCGCTTCCCGTCAGACTCACAATTCGTGTACATGCGGAGCTTTGAGCTGGCTGTGTTCGAGTCCTCGTTTCCCTGAATCTTTACCACAGTGGACACATCTCTGGGAAACACCATGTGCAAACGTGTACTCACACCGAGTGCTTTGACATGTCCTGCTCAGATGATTTCAGGGCACCGGCGGTGCGTGGAGTCAGCTGGTGTCTGAGCTCAGCCCCTGTAAACTCGCTGGTCAACACTTAGAAAGTGTACACGATGGCACTGACAGCGACTGCTAGTAATTAAAGCTGCATTACTCTGTATTCTTTCTTCTGTGATGTGTTTGTGGGAGCTAACTTCAGGACACGTGCATCCTCACCTGATAAAACCCAGTCTGGTTTAAAAGGATGGCGACGGCCGGAAGCCACGACGTGTTGCCGGGCTGCGTCCACACTCTGGGAACAAACCCAGCAGTGTGTGTTTCACCGGCTCATCGCACCACTTTAATTGAAAGCAGCTGTTTGGATTTCACACTTCCCCTCCTCTCTGGGTAAATATCTTAAAGCTGGAATCACAGGAACTCCCAGCATCCTCTCTGAGCCGTGGGGGTCCCCCGCCTCCTCACTGACACACACACTCACTAAAACAGTGTGTGCTCACCCTGATGGGTCAGACTCATACCTTAAACTTTTTACTCATAACCACCAGAAAATAGTCATAATTATGGGGAAACTGTCTCCTAAGACAGTCGTCCTTACCTTGACAAGACAACGTGTAATCTTAGAGTTATTACACAAAAATCATAATAGTGACAAAGTGTTATACTTAGGAAAAGACTACCTCACATTTACTAGATGAAAAAGCTTTTATTTTATAAATGTAATTGGTTTAGATTATAATTCTGTTTATGCCCCGTTTTCTTTTACAAACACTAAATGAGAAAATGTCCTTTAAAACAAACTTACTGAAGAAGTTCCTCATGGATCTATTTCTGGATCCTTTTCTTTTTTCCACCGTTATTTTCTGATTAGACAAATAAAACTGTTTGGATTTGCTAAAAGTGACGTAAACTCTAAAGACAGTTTGTCTCTGACATGTAGTGAAGACACAGGGCGAAGGAGCAGGACGTGGAAGTCTCAGGTAAAGTACAAGTACCTCAGAAGTGTACTTGAGGAAATGTATTTAGTTACTTTCACCGCTGCAGGTCTGGACCTCAGGTCCTTCTTTGCTCGTGTCCCTGGACACGAGAGCAAAGAACATGAATCCACAAGTGACTCTCACATCAATCCGTGACTAGTTTGATAACCAATTAATTCAGTTTTCCTCAAACGTCTGACTTCCTGTCAGTTTTGTAAAAAACATGTGGCCTTGCACATGATTTTCTGACATTATACTGATGATCAATTAATGGAGAATAGTAGACAAATCAGTCAATGATGACAAAAATCTAAAGCCAACATCTTTAAATATAAGCGTCCGGGTTTTGGGCCGACACCGCAGGTCTCTGGTGAACTCCCTGGTCCCCCTGCACCTCACATACCAGTTCTATATAAAAAACAGGCTGACCCCGCAGGCACCCCTTGACCTTTGACCTCACACCATTTGGGCAGACTGAGGTCAGAGAAGTCAGAAGTCACGAGGTAGGCAGGTCGGGACCTACCAGCTGTTTCCGGAGCAGCAGGATGTTCTCCGCCAGCAGCTTCTCCTCGGAGCTCTGCTGGGCCTCCCTCCACCGCTCCTCCTCCCGGAGCTCTAGCGCGGCCCGGACCAGTACCTCCTGCCGCTGACGCAGGTACTCCAGTTCCCCGAGCCCGGACACGGTGGCCTCCAGCCGCGCCCGGACCGAGTCTCTGTCCCGGCCACAGCGGCCGTCTGCGTCCCGCCTGGAGGGCACGGACGGCAGCATGTTCTGCGCCAGGCTCTCCGGTGTGACCTCCGGGTCTGTGCAGACTCAGCGTCCGGAGGATTTGCAGGATCTGAACAGCATTATGCGGAGCGCGTCAGCGGGTGGACTCAGCTAAGAGCAAGTTAACCCGGGTGAACAAACCGGGTTAACGGACCCGTCCTAGAATGAATCCAGAGTCTCTCCACTGACGCTCCCAGTACCAACCGGTGGTTTGGGGGTTCTTCTGCAGAGAAAAAGGTCAAGTTAATCAGGTCCACTCAGGACTCAGGATGTCCAGGTAAATCCCAGCATGCTCCGGGGCAGCCGCTGTGAATCGAGCCGACAGAATGTATTGCAGAGTTGAGCAAAGCTCCGTCCTGCTACCGCTCCTCCCGAAGCTCCGAGCAGACTAACCCACTGCTATGCCGAGCCCGACAAACCCCGCCCCTCCACGCTGTCTGACCGCCGGCTGTGGTACTGCACTGTCAACGGAAACAAGCACTTCCTCTTTGGACCTCCAAAATAAAATATTATGTCATACGTAACTGCAGAATTTACTGTCTTGTCAAAGGTAAAGCAAACTAAAATGACAAATATATAAAGTAACAACACAAAAGTTTACAATAGTTAACACTTGAATTAAATACAAATATAAAGACAACTAGCATTAAACATTCAAACAAAAACTACCGGTGAACATACTGAGCTATAAGAAGTAAGACAAAGTATTTGAATCACTCATGAATGACAGTGATTCATATGTCCAGTTTGAAGGAAACACTACATGCAGGTCAAAATAAAACCAACTTCATTTTAAAATGTAGCAGAAGACAGATCGACATATGCTGGAAACCCTCATCTCCATCTCTCCTCAGGCTCCAGATTTGGTTCTTAAATCATATTTCTGTTCAGACACTCCAGTAAACACTCCAAAGTCCAGTTCAGTGTTGATAGTCTGCTTCTGTCAAGCTCCGCTTTTAATTCTTTCAGGTTGTAGTTATATTTTAAATTTCCTTCAGCAAATTCTTTGATGTAAACATTCCAGTGGTAGAACTGAAATTCAAACATCTTCAAACCTTTTTCTTCTTTACTTGATACATCTGTCGGCCAAGGTTTCTCACTAAATGTACCAAGGAAGTCTTATTTGTCCATTAGAGCGCGAGCTTATTTTTGAGAAACTGAGTTCAACAAATCCAGGTGAAGCTTTTATAAACCTTCTGGTCGTTTCCTCCATCCATCCATTATCTATACCACTTTTCTGGAGCCAATCCCACCTGACACAGGGAGAGAGGCGGGGTCCACCCTGGACAGATCGCCAGTCTAGGTCGTTACCTCACAAACGTTTGTTTCTGGCACCAGTCATTTTATTCTGGAAGGCACATTCTCTCAACTTCCTGTTTGAAAATATTGACTTGTGGGAGCTTGATTCCTCCTGCCGGAGGCTTCCCCGCGGTCCTAAAACCCTTAAACACAGACACATGAATTAGATGTAATAAATACAAACAGTAATGCGGTTAAAGGACAACTTTGGTGTGCAAACAAACATCGGAAATAAAACGCCACAATAAGACAACATCCAGGTTTGTGCAGTGAGACAAAGCTGCAGTGGACTGTGTCCATGCTCAGTTCTGTTCAGTAAATTATTGTTAAACAATTTTAAAGTAGGTCGATCAGATAGTTGGGTTTTCACATCAGTCCTCAGTTTGTCTGTTAGACGTGAATTTGTCTCATTTTAAACAAACGTTGGACATTTTTAGGTAAGAAGTGATTTGGGTCGTTTTTTGTTGAGTCTCAACAAATTTGGTCTTTAACTGAGTAAACAACGCGTTTGCTGGTTTATGATGAAGTGTTTTGCACACATTTAAACTAGCTATAAAAGTAAATATGGTTTTCACAAGAATATAAATACATG